TGGGTTGCGCTTGAATAAGTCATAAAACACACACACACACACTCGCACAAACACACACACGCACAAACACACACACAGGGGTTGTGTGTCAATGTGTTCCTCTGTGTTTTGGTTGTACGGACCACATCATGTCTGTTGACAGACATTTTGGCTTATGAATTAATTAATTAATTAATGACTGAATGAATGACGGTGTGGCCCTGTGCTTGATCCAGATAATATTGTGAGCATCATTGCTCCGTAACACAGAGCAAATTCATTCAGACCTACAATGTCCACCTATCGTCTGTTCTTGTCTAACATCTCTAATCCACTCTAACCAATTATCCAGGGAAGGCAAAACACGTAGCGCAGCAAAGACAGAGCCAACGCCGCGAAAAAGCACCAAAAAATCCACCCCCCCAGCCCACCCCAAAAACTACACACAACGGCCCCAGCTCCCCACTAGCCCCACTAAAGCTCCACCCCAGGGACGCCAACCCCATCCGCCAAACAGCCAGACCCAACCGCCCACCCAGCAACTCCCCCCCCCACCCCAGCCCCACCCGCACACCCCCCAGACTCCTCCACCCACACCCCACCCAATCCCCACACGCACCCCCACACCCCCCCCATCACCCCCCCACCACCTCCCATCCCCCTCCCCACCCCCAAAACCCCCCACCCAGCCCCCATCCTCCCCCACCCACGCCCCTTCCCACCCCCACCCCCCACCCCCACCCCCACCCACCCAGGCCCAGCCCCATCTCTTCCTCCAGCCCACCCCCCTCCCCCCGGGCACCCCCCACGCCCCCCCCCGACCCCCACCCCCTCCGCCCCCATCTCGTCGCCCTCTTTCGCCTCCCCCCTCCCCCCCCCACCCCTCCTCCCCCACCTCCCCGGCTCCAGCCCCACCGCCGCCACCCCATTCTCCCAGCGCCCATCCCACATCCCCCACCACACCCCCATTCCCGCGATCCACTCTCCACCCAAGGCCCCATCCCACCTACACAAAAGGGCAGCCAACTCAAAGCAGAATAAGACAGAAGCCATCCAAAGAGGGAAAACAGGCCCCAAAAAAAACATCCAAAAGCCCAAAAACATTAACAGGGGCAAAAAATAGGAAAAGGAAGCGGGGAAAACTGACACATCCCCCATCTCTTCCATCCCCCCCCCCTCCTATCTCTCCATACCACCTCTCCCCACCCTCATCCCCCATTCTTCCTCCATCCCCTCTCTCCTCTCCCCATCTCTTCCTCCATCCCCTCTTCCTCCATCCCCAACTCCTCCATCCCTCCATCCCCATCTCTCTCCCACGGGGGGGTTTGAGGATCTGGAAAAACAAATCACACACACACACACAACACCACAAACCAGAACACTCCTTATATACGATAGGCCAGGCTGCCAAAGATTCTGTTTCGGGAATGGATTTCAGATTCATTAAATGTGAAGGATTTAGTAGGGGGAAGGATTATGCTTTGGTGTGTCAGGTGTTTGTATTTCAGCAGACCCGCCTTCCCGGTGGGTTGTTGTTTTAGAACGGGACAAGTAAACCTATTTTCCAGGGATGGGTGATTAAGTGAAAGGTTTTTAAGAGGGAGGCAGGGATGGAGAGGCATGATTGGGTTTCTATTGTGTATGGAGAGGAGGGAAACGAGGCAGTTCATCTGTTTAGGTTAATAAAAAGGAACAGTAGAAGGAGAAGGGCAGGGAGGCATCATTGGTTAGAAAGAGGAGAGGAGCCAGGGAGGACATCTCTATTGGTTAGAATAGGGAGAGGGCAGGGAGGCATTATTGTTAGGATTGAGGAAGGGAATAGAGAGAGAGGGGGACCGGGAGACTCTCTATTGGTAAATAGAAGAGAGCAGGGAGGATCTCATTGGTAGAAGGAAGGAAAGGAGGGAGGCAGGACTTCTATTGGTTAGAATAGAGGAGAGGAGACAGGGAGGCATCTCTATTGGTTAGAATAGAGGAGAGGAGCCAGGGAGACATCTCTATTGGTTAGAATAGAGGAGAGGAGCCAGGGAGGCATCTCTATTGGTTAGAATAGAGGAGAGGAGCCAGGGAACATCTCTATTGGTTAGAATAGAGGAAGAGGAGGGAGACATGGTTAGACTAGAGGAGAGGAGCCATCTCTATTGGTTAGAATAGAGGAGAGGAGCCAGGGAGACATCTCTATGGTTAGAATAGAGGAGAGGAGCCAGGGAGGCATCTTATGGTGAGAATAGAGGAGAGGAGCCAGGAGACATGGTTAGATAGAGGGAGGGCAGGGCGCTCTATTGGTTAGAATAAGAGGGAGAGGAGCAGGGAGACATTGTTAGAATAGAGGAGAGGAGCCAGGGAGACATCTGGTTAGAATAGAGGAGAGGAGCCAGGGAGACATTGGTTAGAATAGAGGAGAGGAGCCAGGGAGACATTGGTTAGAATAGAGGAGAGGAGCCAGGGAGACATCTCTATTGGTTAGAATAGAGGAGAGGAGCCAGGGAGACATTGGTTAGAATAGAGGAGAGGAGCCAGGGAGACATGGTTAGAAAGAGGAGAGAGCAGGGGACATATTTTAGAATAGAGGAGAGGAGCCAGGGAGACATTGGTTAGAATAGAGGAGAGGAGCCAGGGAGACATTGGTTAGAATAGAGGAGAGGAGCCAGGGAGACATTGGTTAGAATAGAGGAGAGGAGCCAGGGAGACATCTCTATTGGTTAGAATAGAGGAGAGGAGCCAGGGAGACATTTCTATTGGTTAGAATAGAGGAGAGGAGCCAGGGAGACATTGGTTAGAATAGAGGAGAGGAGCCAGGGAGACATTGGTTAGAATAGAGGAGGGGAGCCAGGGAGACATTGGTTAGAATAGAGGAGAGGAGCCAGGGAGACATTGGTTAGAATACCTTGTAGCCATTGATTTAAACGCTGTGTTGGCGGTGGTGTGTGTTGTACACTTAGGGGTTCAACAAGGGTTCTTCTAAAATCCTCAAAGTTCTTTGAAGAACCTTTGGGTTCTTGGCACAAAAGATTGCCCCCAAAAGGTTCTTCCAAGAACCCCATAGGAGGTGGGGTTCATTGAGGAACCTCCTTAGTTGGTGGGGGTTCTGGCAGGAGCCTAAGTTCCCAACTGAAACATTTGGATTTGAATTTGAAAGGACAGCAGGTGCAGGCACTACACTGACCATTTTTAAGATCTCCTCAATTTAAGATAAGGTTTGTCCCTTATGATATGAATTCATATTGTTTTATGATGATACCATCTATCTTTTCATATTTGTGCAAATCTTTCTAAAACAGAAAATGGACACAATTCAATGGATATCAATCAACAAAGAGGTAAGAATGTATGCTATGAGAATATGTTGAAGGCTAGCTGTATTGGGTGCAGATGACTGAAGTGCTCACTTTTGTGTCTACAGTTGAAGTCGGACGTTTACATACACCTTAGCCAAATACATTTAAACTCAGTTTTTCACAATTCCTGACATTTAATCCTAGTAAAAATCCGGTTTTAGGTCAGTTAGGATCACCACTTTATTTTAAGAATGTGAAATGTCAGAATAATAGTAGAGAGAATGATTTATTTCAGCTTTTATTTCTTTCATCACATTCCCAGTGGGTCAGAAGTTTACATACACTCAATTAGTATTTGGTAGCATTGCCTTTAAATTGTTTAACTTGGGTCAAACGTTTCGAGTAGCCTTCCACAAGCTTCCCACAATAAGTTGGGTGAATTTTGGCCCATTCCTCCTGACAGAGCTGGTGTAACTGAGTCAGGTTTGTAGGCCTCCTTGCTCGCACACGGTTTTTTCAGTTCTGCCAACAAATGTTCTATATGATTGAGGTCAGGGCTTTGTGATGGCCACTCCAATACCTTGACTTTGTTATCCTTAAGCCATTTTGCCACAACTTTGGAAGTATGCTTGGGGTCATTGTCCATTTGGAAGACCCATTTGCGACCAAGCTTTAACTTCCTGACTGATGTCTTGAGATGTTGCTTCAATATATCCACATTATTTTCCTTCCTCATGATTCCATCTCTTTTGTGAAGTGTACCAGTCCCTCCTGCAGCAAAGCACCCCCACAGCATGATGCTGCCACCCCCGTGCTTCACGGTTGGGATGGTGTTCTTCGGCTTGCAAGCCACCCCCTTTTTCCTCCAAACATAATGATGGTCATTATGGCCAAACAGTTCTATTTTTGTTTCATCAGACCAGAGGACATTTCTCCAAAAAGTACGATCTTTGTCCCCATGTGCAGTTGCAAACCGTAGTCTGGCTTTTTTATGGCGGTTTTGGAGCAGTGGCTTCTTCCTTGCTGAGCGGCCTTTCAGGTTATGTCGATATAGGACTCGTTTTACTGTGGATATAGATACTTTTGTACCTGTTTCCTCCAGCATCTTCACAAGGTCCTTTGCTGTTGTTCTGGGATTGATTTGCACTTTTCGCACCAAAGTACGTTCATTTCCAGGAGACAGAACGAGTCTCCTTCCTGAGCGGTATGATGACTGCATAGTCCCATGGTGTTTATACTTGCGTACTATTGTTTGTACAGATGAACGTGGTACCTTCAGGCGTTTGGAAATTGCTCCCAAGGATGAACCAGACTTGTGGAGGTCAACAATTTTTTTTCTGAGGTCTTGGCTGATTTCTTTGGATTTTCCCATGATGTCAAGCAAAGAGGCACTGAGTTTGAAGGTAGGCCTTGAAATACATCCACAGGTACACCTCCAATTGACTCAAATGATGTCAATTAGCCTATCAGAAGCTTCTAAAGCCATGACATCATTTTCTGGAATTTTCCTAGCTGTTTAAAGGCACAGTCAACTTAGTGTATGTAAACTTCTGACCCACTGGAATTGTGATACAGTGAATTATAAGTGAAATAATCTGTCTGTAAACAATTGTTGGAAAAATAACTTGTGTCATGCACAAAGTAGATGACCTAACCGACTTGCCAAAACTATAGTTTGTTAACAAGACATTTGTGGAGTGGATTAAAAAACGAGTTTTAATGACTCCAACCTAAGTGTACGTAAACTTCTGACTTCAACTGTATGTCTGCAGGTATACAGACAAGGAGGCATACAAAGGTATATAGGCTACTGAAGTAATTCTACATTTACATCTGAATTATAAAGTTTACCCTGGATGGAAGTACCTGCTAAACAACAGAGAATTCAGTACTTTATTTTACAGTTTCCAATTGTATTTACCTGGTAATTACTATGAAATTATGCAGTAACACAGAATTCAACACAATTACTTTCTGAAATAAATGTAATAACTAACTACACAGTGAAGTATGAAATACAGTAATATAAGTACTATTTTACTTTGGGACTCATCCTGTCCTCCTGTGTGCCAACAGTGTGACATGATCAATGTATTGTTTAATGAGTTATCAATAACCTGTTGTACTGCATTACATTCTACTAAAAATAAAAATGATCCTATTCAGTTCTATTCCAATTGAATCTCTTTTCACATAGTGCAAGAATTGTCACAAGGCAAAGTGAATCAAACAACTCTTACCTACTATAATTCTGTATCAATAAATATGCTCTTATACAGTTCTTGTAAAAAGAGATTGTATACAACAATCTCATCAACAATCAGGACATTTCATAGAAAAACCAATACAACGTGGATTTATTATTAGGGTTGGCATACATCATGAAAATAAACACTGACATGTCATTGGACACTGGCTGGCCTGCCAAAGGAACTACAGTATGGATGAGGTCTTCTTCCTCACTCACACCTCCGGTAGAAGTTGAAATGGTAGTCTGTGAACAGCGCCCCCATGAAGCCACGGTCGGTATTGCAGTCTGCCTGGCCCTGGATGGAGATAGACCAAGATTGTCTATTATATTGACAAGTGACCACTCTAACAATGGAAATACTGTACAAGTCCTCAAAGACGGAAGGCAAGTGTGAGGAGGCGAGATCAGGTGGGACCATTCTAGCCAATGAGAGGGTAGATACACGTGTGATAGATAAAGGACTAATTACATTTACATTTTAGTCATTTAGCAGACGCTCTTATCCAGAGCGACTTACAGTTACGTTTTTTTTATTAATTTTTTTTATACTGGCCCCCCGTGGGAATCGAACCCACAACCCTGGCGTTGCAAACGCCATGCTCTACCAACTGAGCTACCTCCCTGCCAGCCATTCCCTCCCCTACCCTGGACGACGCTGGGCCAATTGTGCGCCGCCCCATGGGTCTCCCGGTCGCGGCCGGCTACGACAGAGCCTGGATTCGAACCAGGATCTCTAGTGGCACAGCTAGCACTGCGATGCAGTGCCTTAGACCACTGCGCCACTCGGGAGACTAATCTTTGTATCTGTGCCATTTTAGCGTCTGTGACAGTTTTAAAGAAGTCCGTTTTCTGCTTCTTCATTGGGGGATTGCTCCCAACTCAGCTGACTACTTTAAAATGGTGAAAGCCCTCAATGGCAATGTCCATGCTTAAATGTGTTATGGCCATGATGAGTCCTCCATCTATCTCTATGACAACGGGCACAACCGATATAAAGGCGTTTTTTTTTTTTTCAAAAGTTGCCAAAATGCCACGTACGTTCACTTATATCAGTGCAACAACCTAACCATTACAACACTTCTATTCGATCAAATAAGCCTCACGTAGCAAAATACGAATTACATTTTTTGTTGACCAAAAATCGACACTCTCTCATTGACCTCCATACAAAAAATTCCTCACTTTGTGGGCTTATTTTTGTGGACAGATTTTGTGCGGAGTAAACCTCTCGCTTCACCTCTTCCTCTCTGAGATGTACAGTTTGTTTTGGTCGTCTACCAACCACACATACACTTGATTGTTTGACATTGTAAGCATAGGATATCTGGCAGAGACTAAACCATGACGATGTCAGGGTGTAGTCAAAGTCTGTTACGACATTAAAGAACATCTCTGGTAGCCTACAGTGACCGTTGTGGATTAAATGTCAACTCCTTTTCAGCTTCCAATACCAGTGTGGGGCGAGAGCATTACGGTGAGTTGAGGAAGGGGAAGGGGGGTGGTTATAACATACTTATGTAGCTGTTCTGTGAAGACGATGTTTAACAACTGTTAGATTGTGGTTATCAGATTGGGTCGTGTGTCCCCCCCCCCCACAACATACAACACGTAGTAGTTGTGAGGCTGTTGCGACAGTGTCTTTTGACACTGATATTTTAGGAAAAGACACATTCAGAAATCCTTTCGTTCTTACAGCCACTGCGGAGCGAAAGTGGTAGGAGCTCCTGTAGAATCGAGACACTGGCAGAGGCCATTCATGGACGTAGCCCTGGAGAGAGTGAAAGAGACAGCAAAGTAAGTAAAGTGTCACTCTTACTTTTGGTTGCTTTTTAATCATACAAAGAGCAGAGAGTTTGCAATTATCATACAGATAGCAACCACAGTATAGTGTTGTCTGTGGATACCATACCTGTGTATTTATGAAAGTGTATTCTTCGTTGGTTTGATCATGGTCCATCACGGCAGAGCATTTAAACGTCACATCAGAATGACACAGGTGGACAACCAGCAGCTCTATAGTACTGGATCAGAGGAGAGGAGACATCTAGTGGTCATTTGCGGTACTTACAACAAACACACAGCGCAAGTACAAAGTGCTCCGTGACAATTTGTCATCAGTCTGAACAACAGTGAGAGAATGTGCCCATGCAGGTCTGTCTTAGAGGCCTTCGTCTCCTCATTACAGAACAGGAACTCCTGCCAGACCGGGTCCCATGTCTGATTCAGACAAAGCTTTAGGGCTCGATTCAATCCGTAGCGCCGAAGATCTGCGGTGTAGTGTGATTGACATTTAAAAGGCAATTTCCAATTGAGACGACATATGCAGCGATTACGTGACTGCAGTCTCCGCAAATGCGGAAACATTGGCTTTAAAATTCCAATCGCGCCATACACAACTACGGATTGAATCAAGCCCTTAGACTCGCAAGCTCCCACAAGTCCCACTGCACGGAATCTGAACGTCTAGGTCCACCGATTCAGACCATCATCAGCCCCTGAGGTAAGATACCCTCTTAGAAACTCTCTCCTGCCCCGTCCAGAGTCAATGCCAGTCTGTCACCACTGGCAGTGGGCAGTAGTAGAAATGGAAAACAAAGTGGAGAGAGTGGGAGCATGTCTCAAGCCCTGGCTACTCACTTCATCTGGACGGTGACACGCATGTTGATAGGGATGAACTTGCTGATAGGGATTTGGAAGGAGTAGTTTCCTGACCTAGATGGAAACAGATCAAATAGAGGTGAGTATACCATCGGTTTGGCTTTCTGATTCTAAATCTACACTACAGGTCAAAAGTTTTAGAACACCTACTCATTCAAGGGTTTTTCTTACTTTTTTACTATGTAGAATAATAGTGAAGACATCAAAATTATGAAATAACACATACGGAATCATGTAGTAACCAAAAAAGTGTTAAACAAATCAAAATATATTATATATTTGAGATTCTTCAAATAGCCACCCTTTGCCTTGATGACAGCTTTGAACACTCTTGGCATTATCTCAACCAGCTTCACCTGGAATGCTTTTCCAACAGTCTTGAAGGAGTTCCCACATATGCTTAGCACTTGTTGGCTGCTTTTCCTTCACTCTGCCATCCGACTCATCCCAAACCATCTCAATTTGGTTGAGGTCGGGGGATTGTGGAAGGCCAGGTCCATCTGATGCAGCACTCCATCACTCTCCTTCTTGGTAAAATAGCCCTTACACAGCCTGGAGGTGTGTTGGGTCATTGTCCTGTTGAAAAACAATGATAGTCCCACTAAGCCCAAACCAGATGGGATGGTGTATCGTTGCAGAATGCTGTGGTAGCCATGCTGGTTAAGTGTGCCTTGAATTCTAATAAATCCTCCTCCGTGCTTTACGTTGGGAAATACACATGCAGAGATCATCCATTCACCCACACCGCGTCTCACAAAGACAGCGGTTGGAACCAAAAATCTCCAATTTGGACTCCAGACCAAAGGACAAATTTCCACCAGTCTAATGTCCATTGCTCGTGATTCTTGGACCAAGCAAGTCTCTTCTTCTTATTGGTGTCCTTTAGTAGTGGTTTCTTTGCAGCAATTTGAACTCTGTGAAGCATTTATTTGGGCTGCAATTTCTGAGGCTGGTAACTCTAATGAACTTATCCTCTGCAGCAGAGGTAACTCTGGGTCTTCCTTTCCTGTGGCAGTCCTCATGAGAGCCAGTTTCATCATAGCGCTTGATGGTTTTTGCGACTTGAAAATGTCCATATTGACTGACCTTCATGTGTTAAAGCAATGATGGACTGTCGTTTCTCTTTGCTTATTTGAGGTCTTCTTGCCATAATATGGACTTGGTCTTTTACCAAATAGGGCTATCTTCTGTATACCCCCCTACCTTGTCACAAGACAACTGATTGGCTCAAACGCATTAAGAAGGAAAGAAATTCCACACATTAACTTTTAAGAAGGCAAACCTGTTAATTGAAATGCATTCGAGGTGACTACCTCATGAAGCTGGTTGAGAGAATGCCAAGAGTGTGCAAAGCTGTCATCAAGGCAAATGGTGGCTACTTTGAAGAATCTCAAATATAACATATTTTAGATTTGTTTAACACTTTTTTGGTTACTACATGATTCCATATGTGTTATTTCATAGTTTTGAGGTCTTCACTATTATTCCACAATGTAGAAAATAGTAACAATAAAGAAAAACCCTTGAATGAGTAGGTGTTCTAAAACTTTGGCCGGTAGTGTATAAATGAGTTCAAATTGACTGAATACCTACCTACAGCTTCCTTTCTCACAGTACCGAGAGTCAATTATCTGTTGGTTTTCTTTGATGAAAAAAGACTTAATCGTTGTGTTTGTCCCTGAAAATAGAACAGCAATCAGAAGTCATACTCTAAAGTATTCAGAAAATAACATATTTGGATTAGCATAAAAACGTATCTTCAAATGTATGCGATAGAATTTGACTTACAATCTCCGGCACCTTTGATTTCTTCATTGAATTTGTCTTTTCCTTTATCTGAGAAGACAGAATTGGATCCAAAAAAAAGTGGGCTTTTACTGCATGTCACAAAGTAGCACAATGTCAACACTTTTACAGCATCCGAATTATGTCTCAGTATCATTCAAGGTCATCAACTGGTACGTTTTACATAAAGATAGCATGAATAAGGAAACAGACACAGGGAAGATTGTTGTTGGTAAATGAAGACAGGTAGTAGCTAGCTCACCTGCTAGAGAGGGCCCGTAGTGGGAGATGCAGTGGAGGAGAGGAGGGAAGGAGAGATGGTGGTGGTATTATCCATGGTGTCTTTAGTGGGACAGCAGAACACGTCCTCACAGTAGAGCAGGCTACAGAAGTCCACATCAGGGGCCACGGGCCAGGGGTTGTTGTTGGGTTTACTAATAAACAAACAAACAAACAAGGGTCAATCTCCACATCAATGACTACTCATGACAGACAATGTTACTACGGTGAAGAGTAAAACCATCTAAAGGGCGTATAGGGGTTGTTTACCTAAGGTAGGCCTGACTGTTGAGGTGTAGAGAGGATGTTTACCTAAGGTAGGCCTGACTGTTGAGGTGTAGAGAGGATGTTTACCTAAGGTAGGCCTGACTGTTGAGGTGTAGAGAGGATGTTTACCTAAGGTAGGCCTGACTGTTGAGGTGTAGAGAGGATGTTTACCTAAGGTAGGCCTGACTGTTGAGGTGTAGAGAAGGATGTTTACCTAAGGTAGGCCTGACTGTTGAGGTGTAGAGAGGATGTTTACCTAAGGTAGGCCTGACTGTTGAGTGTAGAGAGGATGTTTACCTAAGGTAGGCCTGACTGTTGAGGTGTAGAGAGGATGTTTACCTAAGGTAGGCCTGACTGTTGAGGTGTAGAGAGGATGTTTACCTAAGGTAGGCCTGGCTGTTGAGGTGTAGAGAGTATGTTTACCTAAGGTAGGCCTGACTGTTGAGGTGTAGAGAGGATGTTTACCTAAGGTAGGCCTGACTGTTGAGGTGTAGAGAGGATGTTTACCTAAGGTAGGCCTGACTGTTGAGGTGTAGAGAGGATGTTTACCTAAGGTAGGCCTGACTGTTGAGGTGTAGAGAGGATGTTTACCTAAGGTAGGCCTGACTGTTGAGGTGTAGAGAGGATGTTTACCTAAGGTAGGCCTGACTGTTGAGGTGTAGAGAGGATGTTTACCTAAGGTAGGCCTGACTGTTGAGGTGTAGAGAGGATGTTTACCTAAGGTAGGCCTGACTGTTGAGGTGTAGAGAGGATGTTTTACCTAAGGTAGGCCTGACTGTTGAGGTGTAGAGAGGATGTTTTACCTAAGGTAGGCCTGACTGTTTGAGGTGTAGAGAGGATGTTTAACCTAAGGGTAGGCCTGACTGTTGAGGTGTAGAGAGGATGTTTACCTAAGGTAGGCCTGACTGTTGAGGTGTAGAGAGGATGTTTACCTAAGGTAGGCCTGACTGTTGAGGTGTAGAGAGGATGTTTACCTAAGGTAGGCCTGACTGTTGAGGTGTAGAGAGGATGTTTACCTAAGGTAGGCCTGACTGTTGAGGTGTAGAGAGGATGTTTACCTAAGTAGGCCTGACTGTTGAGGTGTAGAGAGGATGTTTACCTAAGGTAGGCCTGACTGTTGAGGTGTAGAGGGATGTTTACCTAAGGTAGGCCTGACTGTTGAGGTGTAGAGAGGATGTTTACCTAAGGTAGGCCTGACTGTTTGAGGTGTAGAGAGGATGTTTACCTAAGGTAGGCCTGACTGTTGAGGTGTAGAGAGGATGTTTACCTAAGTAGGCCTGACTGTTGAGGTGTAGAGAGGATGTTTACCTAAGGTAGGCCTGACTGTTGAGGTGTAGAGAGGATGTTTACCTAAGGTAGGCCTGACTGTTGAGGTGTAGAGAGGATGTTTACCTAAGGTAGGCCTGACTGGTTGAGGTGTAGAGAGGATGTTTACCTAGGTAGGCCGACTGTTGAGGTGTTAGCGATGGGTTTACCTAAGGTAGGCCTGACTGTGAGGTGTAGAGAGGATGTTTTACCTAAGGTAGGCCTGACTGTTGAGGTGTAGAGAGGATGTTTACCTAAGGTAGGCCTGACTGTTGAGGTGTAGAGAGGATGTTTACCTAAGGTAGGCCTGACTGTTGAGGTGTAGAGAGGATGTTTACCTAAGGTAGGCCTGACTGTTGAGGTGTAGATAGGATGTTTACCTAAGGTAGGCCTGACTGTTGAGGTGTAGAGAGGATGTTTACCTAAGGTGGCCTGACTGTTGAGGTGTAGAGAGGATGTTTACCTAAGGTAGGCCTGACTGTTGAGGTGTCGAGAGGATGTTTACCTAAGGTAGGCCTGACTGTTGAGGTGTAGAGAGGATGTTTTACCTAAGGTAGGCCTGACTGTTGAGGTGTAGAGAGGATGTTTACCTAGGTAGGCCTGACTGTTGAGGTGTAGAGAGGATGTTTACCTAAGGTAGGCCTGACTGTTGAGGTGTAGAGAGGATGTTTACCTAAGGTAGGCCTGACTGTTGAGGTGTAGAGAGGATGTTTACCTAAGGTAGGCCTGACTGTTGAGGTGTAGAGAGGATGTTTACCTAAGGTAGGCCTGACTGTTGAGGTGTAGAGAGGATGTTTACCTAAGGTAGGCCTGACTGTTGAGGTGTCAGAGAGGATGTTTACCTAAGGTAGGCCTGACTGTTGAGGTGTAGAGAGGATGTTTACCTAAGGTAGGCCTGACTGTTGAGGTGTAGAGAGGATGTTTACCTAAGGTAGGCCTGACTGTTGAGGTGTAGAGAGGATGTTTACCTAAGGTAGGCCTGACTGTTGAGGTGTAGAGAGGATGTTTTACCTAAGGTAGGCCTGACTGTTGAGGTGTAGAGAGGATGTTTACCTAAGGTAGGCCTGACTGTTGAGGTGTAGAGAGGATGTTTACCTAAGGTAGGCCTGACTGTTGAGGTGTAGAGAGGATGTTTACCTAAGGTAGGCCTGACTGTTGAGGTGTAGAGAGGATGTTTACCTAAGGTAGGCCTGACTGTTGAGGTGAGAGAGGATGTTTACCTAAGGTAGGCCTGACTGTTGAGGTGTAGAGAGGATGTTTACCTAAGGTAGGCCTGACTGTTGAGGGTGAGAGAGGATGTTTACCTAAGGTAGGCCTGACTGTTGAGGTGTAGAGAGGATGTTTACCTAAGGTAGGCCTGACTGTTGAGGTGTAGAGGATTCCTAAGGAGGAGTGAGTTAGAGGGATGTTACCTAAGGTAGGCCTGACTGTTGAGGTGTAGAGAGGATGTTTACCTAAGGTAGGCCTGACTGTTGAGGTGTAGAGAGGATGTTTACCTAAGGTAGGCCTGACTGTTGAGGTGTAGAGAGGATGTTTACCTAAGGTAGGCCTGACTGTTGAGGTGTAGAGAGGATGTTTACCTAAGGTAGGCCTGACTGTTGAGGTGTAGAGAGGATGTTTACCTAAGGTAGGCCTGACTGTTGAGGTGTAGAGAGGATGTTTACCTAAGGTAGGCCTGACTGTTGAGGTGTAGAGAGGATGTTTACCTAAGGTAGGCCTGACTGTTGAGGTGTAGAGAGGATGTTTACCTAAGGTAGGCCTGACTGTTGAGGTGTAGAGAGGATGTTTACCTAAGGTAGGCCTGACTGTTGAGGTGTAGAGAGGATGTTTACCTAAGGTAGGCCTGACTGTTGAGGTGTAGAGAGGATGTTTACCTAAGGTAGGCCTGACTGTTGAGGTGTAGAGAGGATGTTTACCTAAGGTAGGCCTGACTGTTGAGGTGTAGAGAGGATGTTTACCTAAGGTAGGCCTGACTGTTGAGGTGTAGAGAGGATGTTTACCTAAGGTAGGCCTGACTGTTGAGGTGTAGAGAGGATGTTTACCTAAGGTAGGCCTGACTGTTGAGGTGTAGAGAGGATGTTTACCTAAGGTAGGCCTGACTGTTGAGGTGTAGAGAGGATGTTTACCTAAGGTAGGCCTGACTGTTGAGGTGTAGAGAGGATGTTTACCTAAGGTAGGCCTGACTGTTGAGGTGTAGAGAGGATGTTTACCTAAGGTAGGCCTGACTGTTGAGGTGTAGAGAGGATGTTTACCTAAGGTAGGCCTGACTGTTGAGGTGTAGAGAGGATGTTTACCTAAGGTAGGCCTGACTGTTGAGGTGTAGAGAGGATGTTTACCTAAGGTAGGCCTGACTGTTGAGGTGTAGAGAGGATGTTTACCTAAGGTAGGCCTGACTGTTGAGGTGTAGAGAGGATGTTTACCTAAGGTAGGCCTGACTGTTGAGGTGTAGAGAGGATGTTTACCTAAGGTAGGCCTGACTGTTGAGGTGTAGAGAGGATGTTTACCTAAGGTAGGCCTGACTGTTGAGGTGTAGAGAGGATGTTTACCTAAGGTAGGCCTGACTGTTGAGGTGTAGAGAGGATGTTTACCTAAGGTAGGCCTGACTGTTGAGTGTAGAGAGGATGTTTACCTAAGGTAGGCCTGACTGTTGAGGTGTAGAGAGGATGTTTTACCTAAGGTAGGCCTGACTGTTGAGGTGTAGAGAGGATGTTTACCTAAGGTAGGCCTGACTGTTGAGGTGTAGAGAGGATGTTTACCTAAGGTAGGCCTGACTGTTGAGGTGTAGAGAGGATGTTTACCTAAGGTAGGCCTGACTGTTGAGGTGTAGAGAGGATGTTTACCTAAGGTAGGCCTGACTGTTGAGGTGTAGAGAGGATGTTTACCTAAGGTAGGCCTGACTGTTGAGGTGTAGAGAGGATGTTTACCTAAGGTAGGCCTGACTGTTGAGGTGTAGAGAGGATGTTTACCTAAGGTAGGCCTGACTGTTGAGGTGTAGAGAGGATGTTTACCTAAGGTAGGCCTGACTGTTGAGGTGTAGAGAGGATGTTTACCTAAGGTAGGCCTGACTGTTGAGGTGTAGAGAGGATGTTTACCTAAGGTAGGCCTGACTGTTGAGGTGTAGAGAGGATGTTTACCTAAGGTAGGCCTGACTGTTGAGGTGTAGAGAGGATGTTTACCTAAGGCAGGCCTGACTGTTGAGGTGTAGAGAGGATGTTTACCTAAGGTAGGCCTGACTGTTGAGGTGTAGAGAGGATGTTTACCTAAGGTAGGCCTGACTGTTGAGGTGTAGAGAGGATGTTTACCTAAGGTAGGCCTGACTGTTGAGGTGTAGAGAGGAGTGTTTTACCTAAGGTAGGCCTGACTGTTGAGGTGTAGAGAGGATGTTTACCTAAGGTAGGCCTGACTGTTGTGTAGGTTGTAGAGAGGATGTTTACCTAAGGTAGGCCTGACTGTTTGAAGGTGTAAGAGGAGTGATGTTTTACCTAAGGTAGGCCTGACTGTTGAGGTGTAGAGAGGATGTTTACCTAAGGTAGGCCTGACTGTTGAGGTGTAGAGAGGATGTTTACCTAAGGTAGGCCTGACTGTTGAGGTGTAGGAGAGTGTTTACCTAAGTAGGCCTGACGTTGAGTGTAGAGAGGATGTTTACCTAAGGTAGGCCTGACTGTTGAGGTGTAGAGAGGATGTTTACCTAAGGTAGGCCTGACTGTTGAGGTGTAGAGAGGATGTTTACCTAAGGTAGGCCTGACTGTTGAGGTGTAGAGAGGATGTTTACCTAAGGTAGGCCTGACTGTTGAGGTGTAGAGAGGATGTTTACCTAAGGTAGGCCTGACTGTTGAGGTGTAGAGAGGATGTTTTACCTAAGGTAGGCCTGACTGTTGAGGTGTAGAGAGGATGTTTACCTAAGGTAGGCCTGACTGTTGAGGTGTAGAGAGGATGTTTACCTAAGGTAGGCCTGACTGTTGAGGTGTAGAGAGGATGTTTACCTAAGGTAGGCCTGACTGTTGAGGTGTAGAGAGGATGTTTACCTAAGGTAGGCCTGACTGTTGAGGTGTAGAGAGGATGTTTTACCTAAGGTAGGCCTGACTGTTGAGGTGTAGAGAGGATGTTTACCTAAGGTAGGCCTGACTGTTGAGGTGTAGAGAGGATTAGGGGAGGGTAGGATGTTTACCTAAGGTAGGCCTGACTGTTGAGGTGTAGAGAGGATGTTTACCTAAGGTAGGCCTGACTGTTGAGGTGTAGAGAGGATGTTTACCTAAGGTAGGCCTGACTGTTGAGGTGTAAGAGAGGATGTTTACCTAAGGTAGGCCTGACTGTTGAGGTGTAGAGAGGATGTTTACCTAAGGTAGGCCTGACTGTTGAGGTGTAGAGAGGATGTTTACCTAAGGTAGGCCTGACTGTTGAGGTGTAGAGAGGATGTTTACCTAAGGTAGGCCTGACTGTTGAGGTGTAGAGAGGATGTTTACCTAAGGTAGGCCTGACTGTTGAGGTGTAGAGAGGATGTTTACCAAGGTAGGCCTGGACTGTTGAGGTGTAGAGAGGATGTTACCTAAGGTAGGCCTGACTGTGAGGTGTAGAGAGGATGTTTACCTAAGGTAGGCCTAGATGTCTGAGGTGTTAGGTGAGAGGGATGTTTACCTAAGGTAGGCCTGACTGTTGAGGTGTAGAGAGGATGTTTACCTAAGGTAGGCCTGGCGTGTTGAGGATGTAGAGAGGGCTGTTAGTAAGGTCAAGTGCCTGACTGTTGAGGTGTAGAGAGGATGTTTACCTAAGTAAGCCTGACTGTTGAGGTGTAGAGAAGATGTTACCTAAGGTAGGCCTGACTGTTGAGGTGTAAAGGATGTTTACCTAAGGTAGGCCGCGTTGAGGTGTTAGAGAGGATGTTACCTAAGGTAGCCTGACTGTTGAGGTGTAGAGAGGATGTTTACCTAAGGTAGGCCTGACTGTTGAGGTTAGAGGATGTTTACCTAAGGTAGCCTGCTGTTGAGGTGTAGAGAGGATGTTCCTAGGTAGCTCTGTTGAGTGAGAGAGGATGTTTACTAAGTAGCACTTGTAGGATGTGTACTAGTGTACTGACTGTATGGTGTAAAGGATTTTCACCTAAGCTGTAATGTGCGTTAGTTAGAGAGTTTCAGTAGCTGATGTTAGTCTAGGAAGACAGAGCTGAGTTAGGTTAGAAGGTGTAAGTAGCTACTTTGAGAAAGAGTTACCTCATACTATGCTTCGAGTTAGAAGATTTACAAGTACAACTGACTTTTTTAGAGAGAGTTACCAAGAGCCTACTTTGAGTGCAAATTTTTATTGCCACGTGAGGACGAGAGGATGTTTACCTAAGGGCCTGTTTATGAAAAGTTTACAGGAGGCCCTGCTTGAGGTGTAGAGAGGGTGCATAGTAGTCTCGTTGCTGCAAATAAAAAAACATGATATGATCTTTGAAATTAATTTCACATTCAGTTCTGGATAGTGTTGTCACTGATGATAATAACGTTTGTGTCTCAATAGTATTCTTGGCACCGTTTACTTGTCAAATAAAGGCTGGGGGCAGCTGTAGTTTTTGAAGCCAGTTTAGTGGTGTGTCTTACGTGCTTCCAGGAAAGAGCATGCCGGCGTCGTCTCTCAGAGTCAGCATGTAGAGAGCTGTGATGGCAATAGAGCTGTGGAGGAGACATGAGGACATCATAACACTTCATAACTCATGCATAACACATTCATAAACATTACATAAGAAAACAACATAGTCAGGCCCAGACCAGGGGATTTACAATGCAGGTACATAAAAAAAATAACTTCAAGTGTCGATATATATATATATTTTTTTTACATTTTAGTAATTTAGCAGACGCTCTTATCCAGAGCGACTTACAGTTAGTGAGTGCATCAATTTTTTCATACTGGCCCCCCGTGGGAAACGAACCCACAACCCTGGCATTGCAAGCGCCATGCTTTACCAACTGAGCTACACGGGGCCTGTTTATGAAAAATAAGTTGTAAGGAATGGTAAACTTCTATATTCTAAACTCTCCAATGCTTCTATACAGTCACGTCCCTCCCTAGCTGATATGATAGTCAACGTTTCTCACGTTTAGATCTCTCTGATACAGTTATCAGAATAGATAAAGCTTTACGCTCTCAATATTATATTAGTTGAATGCATTCAGTTGAACAACTGACTAGGTATCCCCCTTTCCCTATATATTCAGGTAGAGGGAACTGCCAAAATAATGGAAACACTTGAGTAAATGAGGGATACAAAGTATATTGAAAGCAGTCGCTTCCACACAGGTGTGGTTCCTGAGTCAATTAAGCAATTAACATCCCAGCATGCTTAGGGTTATTATTTCTATTATATTTTAATGTTTAGGGACATTATTTTGGCCGTTTATTTTGGCTACCATGGCTATGCCCCCATAGATGACAACGCCCCCATCCACAGGGCACGAGTGGTCACAGAATGGTTTCATGAGCATGGCAATGATGTAGACCTTATGCCGTGGCCGTCTCAGTCACCACATCTCAACCCAATTTAAACACTTGTGGGAGATTCTGGAGCAGCGCCTGAGACAGCGTTTTCCACCACCATCAACAAAACACCAAATGATGGAATTTCTCGTGGAAGAATGGTTTCACATCCCTCCAATAGAGTTCCAGACACTGGTAGAATCTATGCCAAGGTGCATGGAAGCTGTTCTGGCTCGTGGTGGACCCAACGCCCTATTAAGACACTTTATGTTTCCTTTATTTTGGCAGTTACCTGTACATTGCAGTGCTCAGTGGTGGAAAAAGTACTCAATTGTCATACTTGAGTAAAAGTAAAGATACATTAATAGAAAATGACTCAAGTAAAAGTGAAAGTCACCCAGTAAAATACTACTTGAGTAAAAGTCTAAAAGTATTTGGTTTTAAATATACTTAAGTTTCAAAAGTAAATGTAATTGCTAAAATATACTTAGGTATTAAAAGTAAATGTAAAGTACAAATCATTTCAAGTTCCTTATATTAAGCAAACCAGATGGCGCCATTTTCTTGTTTTTTTTTATTTACGGAAAGCCAGGGGCTATCTCCAATGCTCAGACATCATTTACAAACGAAGCATCTGTGTTTAGTGAGTCCACCAGATCAGAGGCAGTAGGGATGACCAGGGATGTTCTCTTGATAAGTGTGTGAATTAGAAAATGTTCCCTGTCCTGCTACGCATTCAAAATGTAACAAGTACTTTTGGGTGTCAGGGAAAATGTATGGAAGTAAAAAGTACATTATTTTCTTTAGGAATGTAGTGAAGTAAAAGTAAAAGTTGTCCAAAATATAAATAGTAAAGTAAAGTACAGATACCCCCCAAAAACGACTTAAGTATTACTTCAAAGTATTTTTTACTTAAGTACTTTACACCACTGGCAGTGCTTCAATATCCAAAGGTATTTTCTAACAAAGTAGCCATACGTTTTGTTTTACTGTAAGAATATCTAAGAATATAAGAATATCTCCTCCTCAGTTGTAACAGGCGGTCTTACCAGAAAGCCATTGTTGCTACCAGAATGATGATGATGACTTGGACGAACTTGTGTTTTAAGCAGTGGTGGTACTTCGCCTGGAACTTCGCCTAAAAGAGAATAAACAGGAATATAAATGGTGTTGGTTTGAATCAGACTTGCTGTACACCTGTTGTTATACAAGTATACGGTCTTTCTGAAGTTCTACCTCACCTTGAAAGATTTGAGAGGCGTTGGCTTCTGTTGGGGTGGTGGAACACTACTGTGTCTGTTCATTTTCCTGTGTAACACAACACAAGTATGTATATTATCAACACAGCATGTTTAAATAATGACAGTTGAAAATGTGACACGTGTACTAGGAAACCAAGACAGTCGGAGCATTCCCTATCCAGTCCATTCGAGTACAAACTCAGTCTTTCCATAAGGCGAGGCTCCTAAACTACAATAAACTGGAGATATTTGACAGTCCAGGAAGCATAAAGCAGAAGCCATAGGGTTGTTACCGTTGAGCTGAGAATGTGTTGACGGCCCCATGATAGTGACCCTGGTCATAAAGACAGAGGCACAACACATCCACAGCTCAACCACCCTCAGTACCATCCCCCTGTCTCTTACACGTCAGAGATCTGAAAACAGGCCCTGAGTACCTGACTAAACTGATTGACTGAATTTAATACAAAAGGGGTTTTTCTGTAGGGTGCCAGAGAAAATATCTCAGTATCTCCAAATATTTAGAAAACTGAAAGCGAACTTGTAGGCAATAGGCCATAGAGAACAGCACCCCCTGGTGGTACTGTAACATTACTCTTTAGTGCTGCTGTTAGCAGGGTTGCTGCTGGATCGCAGGCTGCCCATGTTCTTGAGCTTGGCCGACTGTGTGTTCCACACCTCCAGCTCCTGAATCCTGTTCTCCAGGTTGTCAGTCAGCTTACACAGCTGCTTCACAGCCCCGACGTTCTCCATGAAGATCTGCTCCTGTGGGGGGAGAAATAGAATATAAAATGTTACAGTAAATTGTTCTTCAAAGTAGTTTGTTTAAAGTGGGACCATAACACTGACAAATCTCTTGACAATCCTCATACTGATTATCACACCGGATAATATGTTATCAGGCCTTCAATCTCGTGGGGAACTGACACTTACTTTGTCCACCATGAGGAAGTTGTGGATCTTCTCTCCGTCGCTGCAGGTGATGTCCCCCACCTCTTTGACAGCAGCAGGCAGCAGCTTCTTCACCTCCTGGGCTATGATGCCTGTTTCATGTATGTGATCGATCCCCATCTTTGAGGCGAACTCAGGCTTGTAGTCATACTCCACTATCCTCATCTGAGATATTCTCTTCAGCTGCTCTGTTGAATCCACCTACAGAGTTGAAATATTGTCAGTTCAGGTAAGATATCATTCCTTGGGCCGCTGTGAAGGCATTTCTATGTTCCTACTTGTTATTTTACACCAAAACCATTATATCGATAGCTATTATATAGAAGCATACATGTGCTGCTTCATACCTCTCGTATGTTGTGTTTGGCGCGGTGGTCGGAGGGGTGCATGACCTGCCCCATGATCTTAGCGTTGCCACAGACCACCAGGGCTTCATCGGGGGTGTCTGTGTTGATGCCCACCCTCCCCTGGCACACCACCGCGTCCGGAGCCTGTCCTCGCTGCCAAAACACCTCACTGTCGTTCTCAAACTGGCCCGGATTCGACGCCTGTGGTGGAGGAACACGGAAGAGTTTCAAGTTACGGTTATGGTTGGTTCCATTTAGATCACGGTGCATTCTGGAACAAATTGTCCAATGGAAACATGGTTTAGTACATTTTATTTTACTTTTATGTTTTTTATTTATTTAACCTTAATTTTAACAAGTCCCATGTTTTAGTATGCTTTAGTACTTAGTACTTTAGTCCCATGCTTTTAAATGCTTTTAGTACAGGGTTCCCCAAATGGCGGCCCGCGTACCAAATCTGGCCCCCCCCGGGTGGTCTCTTTTGGCCCCCCCCCCCGAGTTTTCAGAGCAAAAAAACAAACATCCGCTCAACAGTTGATGATCCCTGCTTTAGTACTTACGGTTCAGTACTCACCCTGACTATGATCCTCTCTGACATGTATGCTACCAGCAGGTAACTCTCTTCCCTCACTGTGGCGTACAAACCCACCACCATCAGGAAGTACCTGGTCATAACACAAGGACACATGGAACCACATGTTGAAACTTCACTTTCAATTGGGCGGCAGGTAGCTTAGTGGTTAAGAGCGTTGTGCCAGTAACCGAAAGGTCGCTGGTTCTAATCCCCGAGCCGACTAGGTGGAAAATCTGTCGATGTGCCCTTGACCAAGGCACTTAACCCTAATTGCTCATGTTAGTCGCTCTGGATAAGAGTGTCTGCTAAATGACTGAAATGTAAATGTAATGATGATATTAGTATGTAAAGTAATTTTTTTAGAGCGGGTCTGAGTAATAACTTAGTAATAACATGGTAATAGCATGGTAATAGCATGGTAATAACATGGTAATAACATGGTAATAACATGGTAATAACATGGTAATAACATATTAATAACATGGTAATAACATAGTAATAACCAACCTCTGGTCAGGGTTGGGTTTTCCCTTTTTCCTCATGTTGTTGACAGTGGTCTCACTGAAGTGCAGTCTTCCCAGAGTAACTTTAGTGATCTTGTCCCCTGGTAGACTGACTCTGAGGGATGAGACGTTATTCAAAAACGTAGGACGGGATTCAAGCCAATCGATCCCTTTTTGGCCATGCACCATATATACCTTTTAAAGGCAATGTTCCCGCATTTACAGTGAACTACGCTGCATTTGTCGGCTCAATGGGAAATTACCTTTAAAAAGTCAAACGTGCTACTACGCGGATCTACCGCTGATCGGATGAATCTCAGCCATAGTTATCACTTTTCTGCAACCAGATCGCCTTTCTGATCACAATTGTGTCATTGTTCAGTTTGAATGACAGATTACACTCACAACATGGAACACAGCCGTCTACAGTAAATAGTATAACGAAATGAGGACAGGACACTCACTTGACTGGCAGGAATGGTTTCTTGCTGCGATCAGACTGTGACTGTTCTATGGTGACTTTGTGAGTCTGTGCCTCAAGCTGCAGAGACAGAAAAATGGTCAAAGGATAGCTAACTGCATACTAACAAAAAAACGATTTCTTTTAATGCCTTTGCATCATTTGAAGTAGTCTGCCGAGGTCAAAAATCTGAAGTTCTAGGTAAGTTCATGTTGCATATTTGGATGGCGTTATACTAACCTTGACACCAAACACCTTGACTTGGAAGCTCTCTATTTGCGCAGGGCCGTTGGGTGTTTTGACGAACTTGGGGTCCCCGGCCATCCCTACGTGAACTGTGACCTGAAAGTGGTTCTTTTTCTGACACACAAAGGACTCGTCAGCTGCGGAGTAGTTGAAACCCTTATCGGTGTCCACATGGTAACCTGGGGAAGGTCTGTCGAGAGACAATAGAATCATCTACACTGAGTGGACAAAACATTAAGAACACCTGCTCTTTCCATGACATAGACTGACCAGGTGAATCCAGGTGAAAGCTATGATCCCTTACTGATGTCACTTGTTAAATCCACTTCAACTCAGTGTAGATGAAGGGGAGGAGACAGGTTAAAGAAGTGTTTTGAGACAATTGAGACGTGGATTGTGCATGTGTCAGAGGGTGAATGGGCAAGACAAGATATTTAAGTGCCTTTGAACAGACTATGGTTGTAGGTGCCAGACTGCCAGGTGCACCGGTTTGTGTCAAGAACTGCAACGCTGCTGGGTTTTTCACGCTCGACAGTTTCCCGTGTGTATCACCACCCAACGGACATCCAGCCAATTTGACACAACTGTGGGAAGCATTGGAGTCAACATTGGCCAGCATCCCTGTGGAACACATTCGACACCTAGTAGTCCATGCCCTAACGAATTGAGGCGAAAGGGGGGTTGCAACTCAACATTAGGAAGGTGTTCTTAATGTTTTGTAAACTCAGTGTATATTTAAGCAATAATGCCCGAGTGGGTGTGGTATATGGTATATTAAGCACGGCACAACGTGGAGTGCCTGGATACAGCCCTTAGACGTGGTATATTGGCAATATACCACAAACACCAGAGATACCTTATTGCTATTATAAACTGGTTACCAACGTAATTAGAGCAGTAAAAATACATGTTTTGTCATACTCGTGGTATACGGTCTGATATACCACGGCTTTCAGCCAATCAGCATTCAGATATTGAACCACCCAGTTTATAATTATGATTGACCAAGTGTGATAAGAATAACATACAGTAGGAGTCAATTGTGGCCATTTAAGTCAATTGTTTAAGTTAATGAAATGGGGTTTGTTTACAATGACTCATGACTAAACCATTTTACTGTGGGCTAAGAAATGAGAAAGACATTGCTGATGAGTTATGATTTGGTCAGACATAGAAAGTGGAAAATATTTGTCCCTTAAAATAATGTAGCCTTGAGTTAGAGACTTTAAGACAGGCAGCTTAAGGCGTGAGCCTTGGGGAAGAGTTAGGGAATGTAAGGCAGAAAAGCCACTCACAGGACGTCATAGTTACTGTTGTAGAGCGTGCTCCAAAGTCCAGGCTGGTAGCGATCCCAAGTCAGGAGCTGATAGCCCCCCATCCCCGAGCTGCTCCCTGTGGCCCCGTCACTGTCATAGGACGGGGCGTCAACGCCTCCACCTCCACTCTCAGAACCCACTGCTAAAGGAACCGTCACAAAATGGTCTTCTCAGGGATTCTTCCGTCTTCTCTTCTTCGTCAGTTAATTAGGCCTTAGGGAGAGGAGGAGGGGGCAGTATGTAGCGGCTGTAGGTGAGAGGAGATGAGGAGGGCAGCGTTGGTCTGAGAGGTAGATGCTAGCTGCGGTCTGGATGTCGGAGAGTCGAGAGGGGTAGGCATGCGAGTTGGAGAGCTGAGGAGAGGCGGAGAGGAGAGGGTGCGGAGGGTCAGGCGGAGGAGCGGTAGGAGCGGGAGTAGGCAGGAGGAGCAGATAGAGGAGGAGGAGGGGGGTCGAGGAGGAGGAGGAGGAGGAAGAGATAGCGTTGAAGGCCGCATGTTCAAATGAATCCCTTTAGATCTGAGTGCAAGTGGCTAATGCACTGCATTGGTGTAATGTGCCCTGACCTGGTCGAATCCAGGCTCGCGCAGACTCGTGGCGGGCACAATTGGGCGCGCGTCCAATTGGCCCGGGAGTGGCGGGAGGGATGTCTCAGGATGTAGTAGTGATAGAGCATGGCGTTTGCAACGCCAGGGTTGTGGGTTCGATTCCCACGGGGGGCCAGTATAAAAAAATATATATATATGTATTCACTAACTGTAAGTCGCTCTGGATAAGAGCGTCTGCTAAATGACTAAAATGTAAATGTAAAAATGAAGTAAAACATCATTTGACTGTCATTCTCAAACTGATATGTACTGTAAGGTAGTTTAGTAGTATATGTATCTATATGTACTGTAAGGTAGTTTAGTATTATATGTACAAATATGTACTGTAAGGTAGTTTAGTATTATATGTACCCATATGTACTGTAAGGTAGTTTAGTATATGTACCCATATGTACTGTAAGGTAGTTTAGTAGTATATGTACCCATATGTACTGTAAGGTAGTTTAGTAGTATATGTACCCATATGTACTGTAAGGTAGTTTAGTAGTATATGTACCCATATGTACTGTAAGGTAGTTTAGTAGTATATGTACCCATATGTACTGTAAGGTAGTTTAGTAGTATATGTACCATATGTACTGTAAGGTAGTTTAGTAGTATATGTACCCATATGTACTGTAAGGTAGTTTAGTAGTATATGTACCCATATGTACGGTAGGTAGTTTAGTAGTTATGTACCCATATGTACTGTAAGGTAGTTTAGTAGTTATGTACCCATATGTACCTGTAGGTAGTTATAGTTATATGTACCCAATATGTACTGTAAGGTAGTTAGTAGTATGTACCCATATGTACTGTAAGGTAGTTTAGGTATTATATGTACCCATATGTACTGTAAGGTAGTTTAGTAGTATATGTACCCATATGTACTGTAAGGTAGTTTAGTAGTATATGTACCCATATGTACTGTAAGGTAGTATATGTACCCATATGTACTGTAAGTAGTTAGGTAGCAGTCCTCACCCTGTGTGTTGACCAGCTGTGGGAGGCAGGTATGGATATCCTGGTTCTGAAGGACATCCAGACCCAGGTAGTAGACAGGATGGGGCTGAGGGTAGTCCTATGCCCGGGGCTAGGTGTGGGGCTTGACCTGGAGGTAGTACTGGGACCAGGGCTAGGTGTGGGGCTTGACCTGGAGGTAGTACTGGGACCGGGGGTGCGTTGGCCCTGGGGTAGCTGTCTGCCAGACCCTGGCGTGGAGGAGGCTGATGCTGCTGGAGAGCCTTGTGGTGGACGGGGGGTGTGAGGGGAGTGTTAGCCTGTATATAGCTCTCCCCTGGGCTCAGGTAGTGGGGGTGGTGGAGGGGGGGGTCATGGGGCAGCGGGCCTGGACACATGCCTGTCATGGTGTAAGAGTTAGTCAGCCCCTGGTGGTACGGCAGGCTTGGGTGTGGTGGGGGTTGTGGTGATGGCTCTTTATATCGACACGATGAGGCTGGAGGACGCGTCACTGGCTGGAAGACTTCCTGGTTCACGCGGTCGTTGGACCAATGGGAGCCGTAGCGCACCTCTAGGGGAGGAACAAGGCAAAAGGCAGTCAAAATCATTAATTTTATCGGAGCATTTGATTATTATCATTTGGTTATACTGTGTGTAACACTTGCCATTAAAACAGATTCTATCAACCATTGTTGATCAAGTATTGCCGATAAAGGAAGATGTTAAAGAGGTTTTCATTGTCACAGGGGCTCACCTGGTATTTGTGGAGGTGAGCACGGTTCTGAACCAGAATCTGGTGGGGACTCTGGTAACATGCTGGGAAGACAAAGTCACAGTAAGACACGGCCCTCCAAAGCCAAGGTTTTCTACAACTGGCCTATGCCAGTTTCTCTCTGCTTACCTGACTTGTTATTGTCTTGACTAGCCAACAACAACAAAGCTTACAGCTATAGCTGTTGTTGAATGGGCTGCAGTTGGTGCCATGGTGGAGAGCTACCCACATGGAGCAGGGACAGTATAGGCCAGGAACAAAAGGCTGCAGAACCAGTAGCTCTCCAGGAGGAAGGTTGGCCACCCCTGCTCTAGGATTGTGTCCTTGTGTTGTAAAGACTGCTGTGTGTGTAGATCCCTTCCATTTAACATGGCTGCTGTGTTTATGGGTGGACATGGAGTAAGAATATGGATGCTTGCCGGGTATTAGATGTTACTGGAAACAGATTTCCCCTCAGGTACAATAAAGTCACTAAAGTAAAGATGGATGCTTACGATGTTGGGTCCATGTGGTTGCTGAGGTACTGCTCCAGTATGCTGGTGTCCACCACCGCACTCTCCAGGACCCCACTCATATCCTGGCATCCTGGAAACACATTCTGGTTTAGTCTCTCTCTTGATCTCTCTCTCTCTCTCTCTCTCTCTCTCTATCTCTCTCTAGATCTCGCTCTCTCTCTCTCTCTCTATCTAGATCTCTCTCTCTCTCTCTCTCTCTCTCAATTCAATTCAATTTAAGGGCTTTATTGGCATGGGAAACATATGTTAAAAGTCAAATAAACAATAAATATTAACAGTAAACATTACACTCAGAAGTTTCAAAAGAATAAAGACATTTCAAATGTCATATTATGTCTATATACAGTGTTGTAACAATGTGCAAATAGTTAAACTACAAATGGGAAAATAAATAAACATAAATATGGGTTGTATTTACAATGGTGTTTGTTCTTCACTGGTTGCCCTTTTCTTGTGGCAACAGGTCACAATATTACATTTGGCAGGAGGTTAGGAAGTGCAGCTCAGTTTCCACCTCATTTTGTGGGCAGTGTGCACATAGCCTGTCTTCTCTTGAGAGCCAGGTCTGCCTACGGTGGCCTTTCTCAATAGCAAGGCTATGCTCACTGAGTCTGTACATAGTCAAAGCTTTCCTTAAGTTTGGGTCAGTCACAGTGGTCAGGTATTCTGCCACTGTGTGCAATTCGTCCATGAAGGCCTGATTCACACAGTCCCCTCTGAACAGTTGATGTTGAGATGTGTCTGTTACTTGAACTCTGTAAAGCATTTATTTGGGCTGCAATTTCTGAGGCTGGTAATCGTAATGAACTTATCCTCTGCAGCAGAGGTAACTCTGGGTCTTCCATTCCTGTGGCAGTCCTCATGAGAGCCAGTTTCATCATAGCGCTTGATGGTTTTTGCAACTGCACTTGAAGAAACTTTCAGTTCTTGAAATATTCCATATTGACTGACCTTCATGTCAAGTAATGATGGACTGTCGTTTCTCTTTGCTTATTTGAGCTGTTCTTGCCATAATATGGACTTGGTCTTTTACCAAATAGGGCTATCTTCTGTATACACCCCCTACCTTGTCACAACCCAACTGATTGGCTCAAACGCATTAAGAAGGAAAGAAATTCCACAAATTAACTTTTAAGAAGGCACACCTGTTAATTGAAATGCATTCCAGGTGACTACCTCATGAAGCTGGTTGAGAGAATGCCAAGAGTGTGCAAAGCTGTCATCAAGGCACAGGGTGGCTATTTGAAGAATCTCAAATATAAAATATATTTTGATTTGTTTAACACTTTTTTGGTTACTACATGATTCCATATGTGTTATTCCATAGTTTTGATGTCTTCACTATTATTCTACAATGTAAAAAATAGTACAAATAAAGAAAAACCCTTGAATGAGTAGGTGTGTCCAAACTTTTGACTGGTAGTGTACATGCATACATATGGTACTGGGTGAGCTCTGCTTCCAACACATCAGTGTAATGACTAGGACAGCTCAAATATTATGGACCAGACCTGGGTCAAATACATACGTAGCACGTACCCAAGATAAATGCAAGGCGACATTTTCCTGTCACAAACACTCACGCAACAAATAAAGACCTGAACTTTAAAAAAAAAATTCTAGGTTCTTTAAGGAATGTCCTGCTAGCTTGTCCCTGTGTTTGGCCTTGATCTAATTACTGTGTGACTCTGATAGTGGGACGGGTGGCCTTGAGCTGCCGACGACGTCAGAGCTCTGCTGCAGCTGTGTAGATAAGGGCTGGGAAGTGTCTCTGGTCTGCTAACTCTATGAGCAGAATTCAATTGTCTAAAGCATCTTATCTGACCTCGTGTCCTGTCCATCTTTAGCCTACAAATGTGAAATAACTGTCCCCTTTGAACTTTAACCCCAGATATGGAAGGTGTGAGTAGGGAAGAGGACCAATCTTTCTCAGAACTATCAACACAGAACTGGGATCTTTTATTTCAGCTCATGAAACATGGGACCAACACTTTACATGTTGCGTTTATATTTGTGTTCAGTATACATCGTCAGTCACAGGCTTCATTAGGAAATGTGTTGATGATGTTGTACCCACAATAACAATCCGGATATACCCCAACCAAAAACCCTGGATGAACGGAGATATCCGTACAATGCAGAGAGCCCGTGCAGCAGCATTCAATGTCAGCAGAACGAACCCCGATGACTCGGTGGCGTGCGACGTGTACAAGGCTAGCAGGTACGAGCTCCACACATCCATTAGAGACACTTAAAAGACAATACAGACTAACTTGAATTGATATTCGACAACTCAGACTCCCGTCGCATGTGGCAAGGACTACAGACTATCACGGACTACAAAGGCAAATCCAGCTGTGCGATGTCCACCGAAGCCTCCCTCACAGACCAGCTTAACAGATTCTATGCTCTCTTTGAGGCAGACAATACCGAGCCATCCAGGAAGACTCTCGCTGCTCCAAACGACCATGTGGTTTCACAGGATGACGTGAGGAAAACTCTCAAAAGAGTGAATACTCCCTGGCCGCGTCTTCAGGGTGTGTGCTGCCCAGTTGGCGTGCGTCTTCTCTGACATCTTCAACCTGTCCCTGTCCCAGACGGTAGTCCCCACCTGCTTTAAGGGGACAACCATCGTTCCAGTGCCCAATAAAAACAAGGTGACATGCCCAAATGACTATCGCCCCCGTCGCGCTAACCTCAGTCATCATGAAGTGCTTGGAGAGGCAGGTCATATCCCACATTAAGGCCAGCATACCAGGCACACTGGACCCACTCGCATCTGGACAAGAGGAACACCTATATGAGAATGCTGTTCATTGACTACAGTTCAGCATTCAACACTATTGTTCCCTCCAAACTCGACACCAAGCTCAGAGCCCTGGGTCTGGACACCACCCTCTGCAACTGGATCCTGGACTTCCTGACGGGCGGACCACAGGCTGTGAGGATTGGCAACAACACGTCCTCCACACTGACTCTTAACACAGGCCCCCCCCCCCAGGGGTGTGTCCTCAGTCCTCTGCTGTACTCCCTGTCCACCCACGACCGCGTGGCTAAGCACGACACCAACTACATCATCAAGTTTGCTGACGACACCACGGTTGTAGGCCTGGTAACCAACAACGACGAGTCAGCCTATAGGGAGGAGGTAAGTGAACTGGCATTGTGGTGTCATGACAACAACCTCTCCCTCAACGTCAGCAAAACAAAGGAGTTGATTGTTGAGTTCAGGAAGCAGAGGAGGGAACATGTCCCGATCCACATCAGCGGGACGGCAGTAGAGAGGGTCACAGGTTTGACGTTTCTCGGCATTCACATCACAGAGGACTTGTCACGGACCAACAACACCACCACTCTTGTCAAGAAGGCCCTAACAGCGTCTCTACTTCCTAAGGCAGCTGAAGAAATTCAGCATGCCACCCCGTGTCCTCTCCAAATACAACCGCTGCACCATCGAGAGCATCCTGACTGATTGCATCACGGCCTGGTACGGGAATTCCTCCGTCCACGGCCGCAAGGCCCTCCAGCGGGTGGTGAAGATGGCCCAGTACATCACTGGGACCGTGCTCCCACCCATCCAGGACATCTACTCGAAACGATGCCTGAGGAAGGCCCGCATCATCATCAAGGACCCTACACACCCCAGCCACGAACTGGTCTCTCGCTTACCGTCGGGCAGACTGTCTCGGAGCATGAGGTCTGATACCAACAGGCTCAGAGACAGTTTCTATCTACAAGCCTTCAGACTGGTGAACACTTGAACTGGACTGACCACCTGCTCTGATTCTCCACACCTTAGCCCACCTCACTACTGCTGCTACCAGACTCTTATTATACTGCTCGGTTTATACACTTCCCCAATACACCTGTAAATATTGTTCTATAAATGGTTCCTTCCTGTATTATACTGATGCTAAAATGTTTATTCTATTCTACTGAGACATTTACTTTATG